CTATTGACTGCATCGTGCTTTCATCATTTAAGTGATTCACTGCAAATTGCCGTCAAACTGGTGACGGTCGTTCGGAAAAATATGAAAATTTACGAATTCCGTCGGAATTCCGACAGTATTCGGATTCCGATAATCGGAATGATCAAATTTTATGTCATTAGGATTCCGAGAAATTTCATGTTGGTCGGATGATGAAATTCTGCTCGAATGCCATCGCTATGTCAAACTTTTACGCATTCACTTTCTGGCTATATTACTGATAATCGCTGTCACAATATTTGATTTGCATAAAAGATACATACACACTGATGTAAGAAGATACACATGGAACACTTCTGACTGTTTTGGTTATCAGATAGCTGTTTTGTTGATATATCACTTTATTCAGTGTTCATACGATTGTGGCAGTGCACACGGGTTTCTTCTCAGCCTTATATAAGTGTAAGCCTAAGAGTAGTTTAAGACTAAACTGGAACCGGATTCAAGCGAATTTGGCCAAAACAGAATCAGTCGCACTGTGCAGTGTGCCATACCCCGACCGGGTTTACATGTTGTGCAAAATTTGATGAGGGGTTAGCATGAGGTATGCAATTTCATTCAACTGAAACCAAGTAACAGTAAGATGAACACAAAATCACCTGTCATTGAAAGTTTTCTAGACTTCAGGTGATTGAGTCAACTACACCTTGCTTACCACATCAATACTAAGAGCCAGAGATGGGCAATGGCACGCCATTGCTAACTAGTGAAAGTTAACGATATACCTATTTCGCTGGTTGGCGAAAGTTAGTGAAATGGCTATTCCGCTACTTCGCTAACTAGTGAAGTAGCAGAACAACTACTGCTCAGCTTCGTTGAGAGCAATACCCACAAGTCTGAATACAAATGACTCCCTCAACTGTCCCAATGAAATTCTGAGCCGCAAATCATCCTATCCATCGCATTGTACCTAGCTCCTTGGTTTCATTATCCCGACTCCTTGATTTCAATGTGATCATATACGAGTTAATCCACATATACAACTCATCTGCGTTATCTCCTTTCAGTTCTATTGTGTCATATTTCCCCATCTGCCTTGCATCACCTCCAAATTGCTCGAAAGCATACCCCACGCTTCCCGTCTACCAAAGAAATTTCATCATCTAACTCTTATAAACTTGCTAAAGAGATCACTTGAAGTTGGAAATAATTCGCATAAATGAATAAATAAATGACTGATTGTGAATAGAGTTATGTAGGTAAACGCGACAATAATGACAACAACAAAGTTTATTTAAGCGCTCCTCCGTATATGCCAATTGCAAATCAACGATAATATGACAATATCCAATCACTGTAACATCAACAAAAACAACAATAACACAGTAATAAAATCTATTAAAGTGTCCACAGTTAAGCCTTCTGAGCTATCTCCTTGGCTCGTGCCTTCTCAATTTTTGCTTTCTGCGCTTGTGAACGTGCTGACATGACGCCACCACCCCAATGCCTACGAAGCTCGTCGGCACGCTCGTTGAAGTTCGTTAGGGCTGATTCTTTCAGACGTGACAGCTGCGATCTATCCTCCCTGAAATTTTTTGAAAAAAATTATCTTGATCATCTCCAACAAGAAAAAAAATTATTCAAATATTGTACGCACTCCACTCATTCATCAACATGTGCATTCAGAGCTCATAACAAACGTATCTTATTAAACTCAAACCACTTTGACATCAAACACAGTAGCAAATGAATCGACAAATGAATAAATATTTGCGTGTTTGCTTTTTCCTATCACCAAATAACATTAAATAGAGATATTCACCGAAGTACTCAAACAATCACTCAGCTGAAGAGATCCGTCACATTATCATTAATGCTCCTCTTATATCGCCAATATATGATTCAAGATACCAACAGATTATTCATCACTTTTCATAAGATGAATGAATAGATTGAAGGAAAATAAAGTGATGGTCAATCAGATTAAAATGCTTTCACTGAATTGACCAACCACTTGAGAAATATCTCATGCATAATTCGTACATGATTTGTTAAGTCAAAAATTAGAACACTTTCATTCTTCAACAACATAGCAATTTGAGTTGATTGTAGTTCAATTTTACACATTCAAACGAATCGCTGAAAGAACTTACGGATTTGTGTCAACAATCGCAAGACAAGACGTGGTTTTACGATGAACGATACGACCGAGGGCTGCCTTTCCTTTCACAATACAATATGGAACCTGAAACAGAATCCTACTCGTTATTCTGTAATGAATCATCGTGAACGATGAACGCACTGAACATGAACGTAACTGATTATGACGGTCNACCAAATAATAAACTGCTGATAATTTTTGAAAAAATTGTTCCACTCGATGAAATCATATCAGTTTCGCGTGCAATCAAACACATCGCTTTGTTCGACTAAATCTCAACAATACCAATGCTTCACTCCAACCCTATTCACTTCTCCACCTCGAACTGAAGTCACCCCTCATTTCATCTCGTTCACTCAACGCTACTACTCATAAATTGACCAAAACACTGGTAAACCAAACTAAAATTTCCTATAAGAAAATCTTGGCGGGACATTTCAATAATCGAAAATTTCACATCGTGACTAAACGATGCGC